CCTGGCAGCCAGGACGCTGCAGCAGGAGACGGGGAAGAGGCGACGGCCCGGTCACCGGCTTGGTGGGAAGAGGGCTGGGAGAAAAGGGGGGCGGGGCGCTAGTTTTCTGAACTAAGGGCAATGCTTAACTTTTCAAATGAGAAGTGCTCGGGCTGGCTTGGAAAGAAATCCTTTACCCTGCAAGGTTTCCCCTGAAAAAGATCTAGGAAAACCTGCTTAATAGCAAGCCCCACATAATAGATATCAGGCAGGTTCAGTGGAAACTTCCTCCCCCATAAAGTCTTTCGGTAGCTTTTATGTCTTTGTTTTTCCATCATTTTTTTCGTGAATGAATGTAAAGTTTGCATAGCTGGGAGCATCAGTCGCTGCAGTGTGCTTCTGGTTTTGATTCATCCTTACTTTGAAGCAAGTCTTGCAACCTTGACATCCAGTTCTGTACATATACTTGCATGGAAGCAAGCCCCATTCTTAAATTCTTAAGAAGCATACATCATACTTTGCATTAAAGTGCTTACTTTTGGCATGTGCTGGATAGCCTGTTTTTGCACATGTGTACCAAACAAATGTTCAGTTTACTATCGGTTGCTAGTAATATTAATGGAATCCTTAAAGAGGGTAAGTACAGTAAAGGAAAAAAGTGAATCAAAAATGAAAAATCCTGCCACTAGAGCCTTTCCTTTTTATAGAACACAATCACAGAGCAGCCTTTTATCCCCGGCTGTTTTGCCTTTGCTTCTGCAGAATGGCATTTAGCCGAAGTGTTGGTGTGTTTGCAAGCTCCTGAATTGTTACGGGTGGATAAGAGATCCTGAGAATATGTGTGTTTGTAGGAAGATTCAGCATAGCTTTATTTTCTTTCTGTGACAACAAAATGGCATTCAGCTAAAACACCCCCCCCCCCCAATGCTCTTTTCAGGCCTGTGCTGCAATGATGATGGCTGGAGTGTTTGCCATTGATCCCTTTCATTCTCAAAATTTTCCATCTTCCCTGCACACCATCCCTTGTCACTGTGGAAGCTGTCCTCGGAAGGTGGAATGAAGGAGACTACAGTCTTTTGCTGGTGTTTCTTTTCCCATCTTCAACTTCCTTTTCATGTCTTTTATAATGATTACTTTATTATATGGTTGAAGATCAAACTGATTATATCCTTTTTTTAAAGTTAAAGTTCTAAACTATTGCAAGTATAAGTGTTTTAATACTATGAGAATGAGGTGCAGCTTTTCAGCTGGTAGCAAATGCCCTGAAAGTTTATGTATGGGTTACATTCCTATGGCTGTGGAGATTTCTGAAAGTTCAGTCAAGGAAAGAAGATAAGGAAGAGGCTGACTATCTTTGAATTTTATGGTTACCAAATCTGATTCTTTTGGGTGCTGTATGGGCATTGTGTTTTTTTGTTGAAAATTTGGAGTGCTAAATTAGAAAAGATCATACTTTTCTATTGGCTGATGTAAGAGTAACACAATTTGTAATAAAATATAGTAATCCGTCTCTCTCTGACTATGATGGTGCAGAATGAAAAATGCCAAAATTTTCCAGGCACATACTTTTAAGCATGAGTTCTTGCATTGGAATGTTGGTATACCTTTAGAGGCATACCTGCAAAGATCACCAGTGATTGACTAAGTTAAGACAGAGTGTTCCCTCCTATCACAGATAAGCTGCTCAAGATGTTTGACAGACAAAAACAGTACTGGCTGGATATGAGGCTACTTTTATGAGGGGATCTAATTGTACATTCGGTGGAAAATTCCTTCATCCGTATCCTTAACGTATATGCAAGGAATGGCTTTATTTTACCCAGTGAATGACAGCTCTTGAAAATATATTAATATGGGTATCAGTCTTCTGAGCCCTCTTCAGGTGTTTGTCTGAACAGTTAGAGCTAGAGGAATAGGCATACTAACCATGTCCTCTGCTCTTTCTTACTTGCATATATCTGAAAGAATTCTGTACTTGTGTTTGCTTGGGGACAGATCTCCCTGTGTGTTTTATTAGGGTCCCATGTTGTGCAGAGAGCTGTATTTGTGTTCAGACAAACAAGAGCACAACTATACTTCTGTTGATATTTGAGTACAGATAGCCAGTGAGTGTTCCATTGAACTGATGATCTCCTTGCATATTATAGCATATTTCTGCAGTAGAAATATGGAAACTGGAAAGGTATCCTCTGCATACATACTCAGAAGTGAGCTGCACAGATTTATTAATAAATATATATGTAATAGTCTAACTCTATATCCAGAGAACCATTATTCTGAAAAACATAATGCGCATAATCACCACGTTTGCATGGATGATAAGCCATATTCATTATTGTCTGCAAATGCATCCATTTTGTCTATTCCTGCTTTACTGTTCCTTTCCACTGGGACTGTTAAGCAAACTCCCATGTGATTCAGAACACATAGTTCCAGCTTTTAAGAGAAGTGACTTTCTACTATATTGGTATCCTCCATATTATTGTCAGACTTCAATTTCTTATGTATTTGAGGGCTATTAATAATTCTCTATATCTATTGTATGCAGTCTTCTGCTCAGCAATTATAGCAAATGGATGTTCTGCTCTCCTTTCTTCTTAAAGTGAATTGTTTAAAAATTGAAAACATTTATTTTGATTGCACTGCTGTTTGATAAAATTTTGCCCAAAGATTTCTAGATACTTTGAGTGCCTTCCACTGTAATTTTCTGGTACTTTTGGTCTACTCACATTTATTGTCCACAGAAGACAAAAATGTTTAATTTTCTTATTGTTCATGTACATTTCTCTTTCAGCAGTAGTCTGGGAACTGCAGAAGACCCATAGACCTTTACTATACATGCTTTATCATTACAATGAAGATTTTGTCTTGGTGATGAACCTCTATTGCAGTTGTTTTGGTAGACAGATGAATTGAGTTCTGTCAAGCTTTGACAGTCTGCCTGCCCCTTTCTTCATAGTAATGAAAAAAGGTGGTTGTTAAGTTTATTTTTATTCTAAAGATAATGTTTAATTTTTGCCAGATTTTATGCCAAAACCAAAAGCGGTTTTTTCCAAGTCTGACTTGTTCTGCAGAAAGTGTCTTTTTACTTACACATGGCATCTATATTTGAAATACTAGTCATTTAAGGAAACAGCTCCAGAACAAAAACTTACTAATGGCTTTGTATCCTTGATGTATCTTTGAGGATCAATACATCATTCCATAAGTATGTTTTGTATTGATTAAGATAAGCTTAGCTCTGATGGCTACACACACACACACACAAACTCTTTAGTCTTTGTGTAATGTTTGACTAAAAGTAAAGTCTTCTTTGGGTTGAGCTCAACACCTGGTGACTTCATAATGGATAGCCCTTGCCTTCTTCCAGGAATTTTAGGGGTTTCCCAGCCTCGCCTTGGTATTTTTTTTGGAGATTGCCCAAGTAAAAAAATATAATTCTTTTTCTTTGAATATTTGGGTTTTTACAACATTTGTCTTTCATTAAAGGAAGGGAGATCTTGTTTGAATCAAAATGAATGGAAATTAAACAGCAGCTAGTGTTTAGGTTAAAAGGTATACCTCTTTAGAATCTGCATTTCTTGTATAAGATCTGCCATTTCCTTAACAGGGAGATATGTAAGTGGATGATGAATATTGCTACAGAAAAAAAAAATAGTATCAATGGCTTTTGTTCAAAGACATACATTTTAAAGCTACATTTCATCATCTAGTCAATATAAATATTGAAATACCATATTTTTGTTGAAACACTAGCTCTATTGTACTTAATGTCTCCTCAGATACACATTTTATTAGGTACTAGTAGGATTATACTGTTAATATGATCCTTCTGTTGAATATACTTCAGAAGCTTGGAAGAAAAAAATCCCACCATTCTTATGCTTTTCTAAAATCTGGACTATCTATTGTCAACCTCTGATACTCAGCTGCTGCTGAACTACAACTCCTGTTATTGACTCTGTTGGACTGGGAGTGATAGGAACTGCAGTCAACAACAACTGGAGAACGTTGTTTGAAGTATGACACTCTTGATTGTGCTTTTCTTATGCCATGTTTTATCAGTCATCAGATACATCTAATTTCTCTGCACTTCATTTCTACTAAGCTGTAGAAGTCAGCTGGGCAAGTTGCTTTGCAATGGATAAAAATATAAATGAATCAATAGTTTGCTGATTTACTACAAATGTGGGCTTCTGCTATGTTCTTTGTGGGCTCTTCCCTTCACCAACAGATTCATTTCTGGATATGAAATGGGGAAGTTCGTAAAGAACATAGTACATTTCCCAATATGTATTTCTAATTTTATCTTTATGAATGGTTGTTCATTCTGCAGCATACTCTCAAATGCGTTAAACTAGAGTTGTGCAGTCTGGAGCCTCAGGATCACATGTTGCACCTGAAAAGCTTGAGTACAGCCTAAGAGAAGAACACAGTGTTCTACCAAATTGTAATTTTTAATGTGACAGAAGGGGAAAATTATTAATTAATCGTATTGCCATATTGTTTTAATTATATTTAAATACAAATGAAATCAGAGTTTTCTCACTGCTTTTTCAGATGTAACCCCTGACATGTCACTCAGGGGCCAAATGAAGCTTTCAGCCTGAAAAAATTTGGGCAGCTCTTTTTTAAGTGCAGAAAGGTCTAGCCTTTTTTCATCATCTTTTCTGAGGCAGAAAATCTTAATCACCCCATAGAAATCAGGGGTGGTTTATTTCTAGAGGAATTCAGAGCAGGTGCACTCTGTTTCAGGAAGGTGATGTTTTAATTAGAAGTATTAAGATAGGATTACTTTGCTTCACTTTGAAAAGAAGCTTTGTTGCATTAAGTGGGAGAGCTACCCACTTATCCCCCCTCCCCGCTTTTTTTGTTTTTAATACTGTTACATTTAGACTGGCTTTAACTATTACTCAAGTCTTCAAAGTTATGCAATGTATGTATTTTTGTAGAAGTGATCCTCTGAGTAAAGATAACTTTGATTTATGCTCTGATTAGTTTAGGGCATGATTAGGGCATGATTTTTGTTTACCATACCAAGATACTAAAATCTGCTCAAATTGTGTCTTTTTAAAGATTAGTTTAGTAGTTCATTGAGGGGGATGAGGTGTGCTTTGTACTGAACTGAACTGTGAGTTGTTCTCATAAGGCTAGCTTTTCCATTTGTTGAGTGGAGGAGGTTATGTAAGTGCAATTGGTGAGTTTGATGCACTCAGAACTGCTTTTAATTGATTGTTGTTTTCTGAAATGCTAAGGAAACCAATTTAATGCCATATTACTAAGAGTAGAACAAGAAGTAATCAATGTAAATTGCAAGAAGAGGGAAGTAGCTTCCTTGAAAGTACTGTATTTTAAGACTGAACAGTAAGAGACCTTAGCCATATAATGCAGTATTTATATAAAATTGTCACTTACAATGGGTGATTGTTTGCTAAGAACCTGTTTGACAGAACAGCTTGCTTAGTAAGGGTTCTTCCTGGATTTGCCAACAAACATTTGGCTTTAGAGAATGTTTACAATGGTTAAACAACAGATGACTCAGAAGAACCTTTATTCTGTTGTGAAGTGAATCCATTATATGCACAAATCTGTGAGAAGTATAGTGTTCATGCACACTAAGTTGCTTGGGGAGTTTGTAACTAACCATGAGTAAACTGTTATTTCATGGCTAATCTTGGACTTGTATTCTCTTTATCTACTTGACCACATTGGTTTGGCATCACATCTTCCAAAGAATATATAATTTGTGAATAGATACAGTATAACTGTTGAAATTTCATTTTAGAAAAGGTATAATAACCAATTGAAGACAGATTTTTGGAGACAAATATATGGATAATTTATTTAACAGGGATTTACAACTTCCTCTAGCTTTATTATTAAGAGATTTTTGTAGGTTTTGCATGACCCATTTCAGTAGTTAATAAGAAATCATTTTGAAGAATTTGGACATGTATTAATGTTGTATACGATACATGTCTTTGACAGCAGGAAACATATGTTTTCTGT